CATGATTGAGTTTGTGATGTTCTATTACATCGAGGTTCAAAAAAAATATCAGAACTTACCTTTAATTTCAACTTTCGTGCCACCAATCTATTACGACCCATTTGTATCTACATACACATACATATTATACACAAAACTAGTTCTTTTATTTATAACTTAATCTATATTATAATTATATCTTGAAGCTTTTTCGCTCTTTCAGACAAATGCAAACAATGCAATCAATCCGAAAAAAAGTAGTAAGTCGTTCAAATAATTTTATTTTCGAACAATGGTTTTTCACCTTTTAGTACTTTGCCACACATTATACGTTCTTTTCATCTGAAATTCGTGTCCAGTTAAGGAAAACGAACGACTCGAGTAGTGGCAGTGGAAGTAACAATAACAGCAGCAATGGTAAATCTGGTGGTGGTAGCTCGAAATCATCGGGAAAGAACTCGGCCGCTTCCTCTTCAAATACAAGCAACAATAATGATACCTCAGGTTCAACACCCACAATTGTAGTGGTAACTGCAGAACAGGTTACATATTTGTGCTATTTTTGAAATTTTTGTCTTGTTTTACTTTTTCAAACCTTTATTGACATTGAAGATTGCTCTTCGTTCAATATTCGGCATGTGTTTCACGAAACGAAGAGGCAGGCACTTGCTCAGGCTGGTGTAGATGCAGCAGCCCCCCTCTCACCTGCTAGTAACCATAAGTCTCATTCAAAAGATGAACCTCCCAAAAGAGATCCATTGAACCGTTTAAAAAATACGCCAAAGGATGTCATACCACTCAGTAAAGCACCACGACGGCAGAGATCCTCGAGGTTCCATGTCACGGAAAAAGTGGAATTGGAAAAGTTGCCAAATTTTAACGGTTGGTCAACAGATGTTTTCGGAGGGAATTTTTTTTGATATGAGCAAATAAGTAAATTTTTTTTTAATGTTCGAACATTCTAAATTTTAGAGGTTCCGCTTGATAAGAGACAAGACCTTTTTCTAAAAAAGCTCGGTCAATGTGCTGTTATTTTCGATTTTAACGATGCAAGCGCCGAACTAAAAGGAAAAGAGATAAAACGTGCCACTTTAACGGAACTTTTAGAGTACATAACTACAACTCGAGGAGTTATTACTGAACCAATATATCCTGAAGTGGTTTCCATGGTTTGTGTGAACTATTTTTCTACTACTTAATAATGATTGGTCATTGTAATTATTGCTTTGTTCATATTATTAAATCCAATAGAAAAAAATATTTTCTCTTGCATATTTCTTCTAGTTTGCCATTAACCTCTTTCGAACGATACCACCACAAGTTAATCCAATTGGAGATGCCTTTGACCCCGAAGAAGATGAACCTGTGCTTGAACTTGCTTGGCCACACCTTCAAATTGTTTATGAATTTTTCCTAAGGTTTATTGAATCTCCTGAATTCGATACTAATATCGCAAAAAAATATATAAATCCACAATTTATATTGCAGGTGTGATAATTCATTAATTAATTTAGATTAAATGTTTCATCGTTATTTTTTTTTACTCTCCATGAAAAAGTACTGTTTGATAATCTATCGGCTTATTTACTTTCCTCAGCTATTAGATTTATTCGAAAGTGAGGATCCAAGGGAACGTGATTTCTTAAAGACCACCTTACACCGAATCTATGGGAAATTCCTAAATCTTCGCGCATTTATTCGAAGATCAATTAACAATGTATTTTTCCAGTTTATATATGAAACCGAACGTCATAACGGTATAGCTGAATTGTTGGAAATTCTCGGGAGGTAAATAATAAACCATAAAGCTCGAGTTCTAAACAGTGAAAGGAAGTAGCTTTTTCTCGGTCAATAATAAACTTTTCTGCTTATTAGTATCATCAATGGTTTTGCATTACCCCTAAAAGACGAACATAAGACTTTTCTTACGAAAGTCTTGATACCTTTACATAAGGTTAAATCTTTGACATTATATCATCCACAGCTTGCGTATTGCGTAGTACAATTCCTCGAGAAGGATCCCTCGCTAACTGAAGAAGTAAGGAATAACTCTGTATTATATTTGATTTGTTGTAACATAATAATAATTCAAGAAACTTGAGCGGTATTTATTTCCTTCCCTCGCGTGTGAAGGTTATTTGTGGTTTGCTTCGATATTGGCCGAAAGTTGAAATTAAAGGTAAGTTCTGATATTTTTTTTGAACCTCGATGTAATAGAACATCACAAACTCAATCATG